CTATCTATACCTATCTATACCTATCTATACCTATCTATACCTATCTATACCTATCTATATCTATCTATATCTATCTATACCTATCTATACCTATCTATCTATATACACAAACGCATATATATACGCATACAGATATATGTGTACATACATATACACATCCTTACATAGACAAAATGCATATACCGTAATTACAATTTATATGCATTTCATGTGGGTGTACATACACACATAGTGTATGTATGTGTATATATACATAAATACACAAAATACATATAAATGCATATAAAAATTTAATTCTGATGGTTTTTTAAAAGACGCTGTCTCTTTCCTATGTGTTGGAGAGAATGTTGTTGGACTGAACATAGAACATCAAGAGGGTTTTCTTATCCCACATGGCACACACTACATATCCACTCCAGCTTTACTTTTATGGAGGAATTACTGGTTTTTAAGTTAACAGGGCTCTTGTGACTGCTACTCTCATGATGACCTGGGTATCAGCAGAAAGCCCAAAGGCCAGAGTTCAGAATGGTGCCACTAGGAGGTCACTGGGAGAACCACTCTTTCCTCCATCCATATTATCAGGAAAAGGTCAGGGTCCTTCATAAAACACATGGACATTTACATTCATTCAACCATGGCACAAAGGAAACACACCATCAAGCCTTCCAAAACCAGCTCTGTCTTTCCCCTGCACAACACACACCTATCAACATCAGCACATATAAGATCATGAGCTCAGAGTCCCTTCCAGGACTAAAATAGCAGCAGCCAATAAGCATTGAGAGAGATGGACCACTCTCAAAATTCTTTTCCCCTGGCTTGTCCTGTGCATGAAATGTTCTTGTAGATTATTCCATAACGGATGCTGTTACTAAAGACCAAATCTTGCCCCCTTGGCTGGGCCTACCTTTTCTGTTCTGGGACATAAGGAAACTCCCAGATGAGTGAAGTTTTGTCAATGGAGCTCTTTAAGGGGTAACAGTGAATTACAGTGCCAGCTCTGTTGTTAAAACCAGAGGGATCTGGTTAATGAAGTTAAAAGCCAATTCATGTAACATTTGCCTAAATTTAAAACAACATTAAATAAAATAAAAACAACCTCCACATTAGAAAGGGACAAATAAACTGGAGGTTCCTACCATACTTTCTATGGAAATGATTTATAACTCGACTTGAGGTGTTGCCTCTTCAATTCCCAGAATCCCCCGTAAAGAGCACCTAGACGAGTGAAGCTTTGTCAATGGAGCTCTTTAAGGGTAACAGTGAATTATAGTGCCAGCTCTGTTGTTAAAACCAGAGGGATCTGGTTAATGAAGTTAAAAGCCAATTCATGTAACATTTGCTTAAATTTAAACCTACATTAAACAAGATAAAAACACAAGTTAAAAGCCAATTCATGTAATGTTTCCTTAAATTTAAACCTGCATTAAACAAGATAAAAACATAAGTTAAAAGCCAATTCATGTAACGTTTGCCTAAATTTAAAACAACATTAACCAAAATAAAAACACCCTCTACATTAGAGAGGGACAAATAAACTGGGGGTTCCTACAATCCTTTCCATGGAAATGATTTCTAACCCAAGCTGATGTGTTGTCACTTCAATTTCTAGAATCCCCCGTAGAGAGCACCTAGATGAATGACATTTTGTCACTGAAGCTCTTTAAGGTGTAACAGTGAATTAAAGTGCCTGCTCTGTTGTAAAAACCAGAGGGATCAAAGAAGAGAATCCTTCTTTTCAATTTAAAATGGGGAGAGGAGAACCTATCCCCCTTATCGTCTATACATTTTTAAAATAAGAAACCTCAGATGAATGCTTTAAATCCCGATTTGTGCAAAGTGACTTATTCTTCGCTTCCTGAGTTGTGCTGCTTTTGTTTTTCCTACGAGTTTAAAATAACGTGTACCCATTTCTTACTTTATTTTTTTTTTCCTTTGCCAAATGAACAGAACGACAGTGGCCCTTCCAGATGTCCCTGTATAGAAAGGCCAATCAGCTTGTATCTGGCACAAAGGGTTTTTAGGCATGAGATGAACACTTAAAAGCTGAGACTGAAAAACAGAAAGAAGGAGAAAATGATGTTTGGGGGAAATCACTTGCCGGAAGGTTGACCAAGATCATAAAAGTCCCAAGTGGTCCTTTAGTACCGGTTGCTAACCATGAACAGTATCTGCAAAATAGATGGTCTTTCACAGTGGAGAATAGAAGAGCAGATCTGAAGTCTTACAACTGGCCGAGGGGAGACAAAAAAACAACAACAAAAAAAAAAAACACTGCAGATGGTGGAAGGCAGTTCTCTTTCCATTCTGGAATCCAGAAAAAGAGACTGAAGAAAGCGCTATAGTTTGTGGACCTTCGTTTCTCAGCCAGGTGCCAAGACTTCACATTTGCAAAACACTTGGCAGATAAAACAAAAATTACGGGGACAAAGAGAGGAAATTGGAAGGTGGTTTTGAACAATACTGTGCAGTTGGTCTTAAACAGGGCTTTGGAGGGCTCCCCCAAAACCCCCCAATTTCCTGTAAGCACTGCTTCCATAAGATTTTTTTTTTTCCTTCGCATTCACGGGAGCCTGACAGTTCCTTTATCGTCGAGAAAACCTGTTTTTGAAAGCTTTGATAGTCTTTGCCATCATGGGTGCAATTTCTGCAAAACAAGAGGAGAAAAGATAGAGGTTATTGCATATAAGCAGTTGCATTAAGACACACAGATATATGTAGATTACAAATCTGGATTTGCATTTGAAGGAAACAGTTTCCACTAAAATAGAAGCCAATTCCATTTTACAGGTAGAAAAAAAATCTTTGCAATGCACATATTTAAGTGGCTAGTGATTTCTTTTTCTATGGACCTAAGGACTTATATATTTACATATCACATTAATTTACACATCATTCTGATTTTGGCTATAATGTTGCAATTGTGCAGAATCAGACATTTTGCCCACCAAACCATGCCTCTGAATATGCCTTTTACAGACTGTCTGATAGGATTCTACACGATCAAAAACCGCATTTCTTCAGCTTTTTTGTCTTCAGGAATGCTTCCCATTTTAAAAATTATGGAGAAGCCCCTGCCCCCCAAAAAGAGCTTTTAGTTGCCTATTTAGTTGCCTATTTACCTATATCAAAGGTTAAAATGGACACATTCAAAAATATTTATGCATGGCACCATGTAAAAATAATTGAATCCCATTCGAGATTAATATGAAGTATTTCTCATGAAAACCCTCAATCTTTTTGCAGGATGGAGGAGTCAGCTCACTTACTTTTCACCTGGGGCTTCCTTGGGTCATAGGACACCGATGAAGTGCTGCCCATGGATGAACATGAGGGGCCACTACTAGTACTGGGCCTGTCGTAATCCTGTTCCTCTTCTGCGTGAACGCTGCTACTTTTAGTTGCCGTGAACAATACAGGTTTGATTCTGAGGAAAGAGAAGATGGTGAGCGGTGAAGAATTGACCACTGCAGAGTCAAAAAATGTGCTTGCAGAGCCTGGACTGTAATAGACAGAGAAAATGTGTCACCCAGGAGCAACCAGAGTTGCTGAAGATCAATTACTCCCTCTTCATTCAAGCATCATCAGGAATTTGGATCTGGAAAAATACATTTTACTTTTCTCCCCATTGTTGAGAGCCAGGTTACTCTCTCTTAGTGGCCTGCTCATCACCTTTTTAAAAAAGGTTAACAATTCCTTCTCTCAGAGAGAATGATTTAATTACAATCATAAAAGGGATGACAGCTGCTGTATGAAAACACAGCTGGAAGCACATGTGATGCCTATATTGGGTTCATAGGTATCTAAACTAGCCATGGCATCATCACGCACAATGTTGCGTCTCCTCTCCAAATGGATGCTGACAGGCAGGATAGACACAGCCTCCCATATTTCTTTTCCCTGCAGCTTGTCACTGTTCTCCCAAGAAGAAGATAAAGTCAAAGCCTTCATAGAAAACATACTTAATCTTCTCTGGAGCAGCCGCTCCTCCAGTCCCAAATTTTTCTTGTCTTCTCCTCACTTCCCGGGGTGGCTTGACTGTTGAGTTGACAAATGCCATCTTAGCTACTCTGGCTAAAAGAGGAGAGCAAAACCAAAATTTAAGACAATTTGAATTTCCCACACATTACTGAAGACACTTTCTGGAGCAAGGCTTTTTAAGACTTATGTACAGACAGCCCTCAACCTACAACCAAAACTGAGACCCGTATTTCGTGAAATGAATAATTGTTAAGTGAATCTGGCTTCCCCTCTTCAATTTGCTTGTTGGAAGATGGCTGGAAAGGTCACAAATGGTCATTAAATGAATGGTTGTAAATTGAAAGCTACTTGTAATAGCATGCAGAAGTAGTAATTTTGCATTATTTATCCTGCCCTTGTGCCAGGACAGTCAAATTTCAAAGGGAAAACTGTTCCCTTCCCTTTTTTCATGTATGTCACTAACTTCCCAACTGTCAAATAATGCAAGGACTTACAAAAGAAAAAAAAACACCGCACACTTCTTTCTGATTAAAAAATGATTTGCTAGCCTTTTTCTCCCCTGCCCCTTCTTATCTCCATGCCCGCTCAATCGCTCAGTCCAGCCTTCTACCTTTGGGTTTATTGGCGTGAGCTGAACGGATGTTTTGCGTTAGCATCAGAAGTCGCTGCTCTCGAGCATCATGCAGCCGTAGGTACATTTCCCTCCAGCTCTCAAACTCATCTGGCTTCTCCTTCTTGAAGTCACGCTGGCAATGATTGTGCCACAATTGATCTGTGTCTTCAGTTAAAACCTGGAGGCCAAGAGCAAAGGAAGATTGAGCCTAGAGTTGGAATATCTCTGAAATCTTTATGAACCAAGATCTAGTTGTCCAAGATGCAAATTTGCTTACTAGAAGATATACCCTCAAGTTTCAAAACAAGTCCAGGGAAATATTACAAAACTCCAACTTGTAAAATCAAGTGCAGTCACATGAATGCCTTACAACTTACAACTAAAATTCTGGTCCCAACTACAGGTTTGAATTGCGAACTTAACATCTTTTCCTTTGGGGTTATTTGCTGGAGAAAAATGAAATCACTTTTGTCAACAAGGACAACTTGGAGGAAGGAAAATTCTGTCCTCTCTACTATTTGGACTGGTGATAAAGGAAGCAATGCCAAGGCTTACATAATGGCCTTCTGGATGCACAGAGCCTCTTTGGCTCTTCTTAAGAGACTTCTTAAATCCCTGCCCCTTAGTCCTTTTGCTGCCATTCATCCTCGTGGTGTTTGAGAAAATTAAGGGGTGGAGGTGCTTCCCATCTCTAAAGTCCCTTTGTCTTGCTTCTTCTTTATTTGTTCCTTGGAGGAATACTTAAGGAGAACAGCAGCTGGTGACAAACACATGGCAACTTCACCAAGATCCAGTTGAATTCCCTCTGCCAAATATGCTTGGGTAATTAAGAGCAGGTTTCTGAGCTACCTATTACTATACCCTTAATGGGAGAGGCTGCCACAGAAGGGAACTTGTCCATTAGGTTCACTAGCTAATAGCCAAGTCCCAAAATTCATTTGGGGGGGGAAGAGGTGTTACAATGCAATCCCAGTATCTTCATCCCAATTCCAAATGCCAATTTGATGGTACTGGTATCATGTACCGTGTAAAATTTCTGCTAAGGACCTCTGAGACATCCATTCACCTTGCAGAGCAGGTCAAAATTAGTTGACCTGTACAGCCATGTTTCTCAACCTGGCAGCTTTCAGGTGTGTGGACTTCAACCACCCCCCAATGGGGATGGTTGGGGAACTCTGGGAGTTGAAGTCTACATATCTTAAAGTTGCCAAGGTTGAGAAATATCACTCTACAGAAACAAAGAGTTTCTCAAAACTTTTCCACAAAGTTTTCATTTTCTAGGGCTGAGGATCTTCTCTATTATCTAATCACAGTGCTATCATTTTACTAACTCTTTAAGATATCATTGTCAGAGGTTGTATTATTATATAATGAACTTTATTTTTATTATACTTAATTGATATCCTTCAATTAGATTTTTCCTGTATATATTGTGGTCTTGCATATTTATGTCATCTGAATAAAAATAGAGGGTTTTTTCTTTAAATACAGCATTCCCTATACCTAATTTTATACCAGCTGTTTTTGAGTTACATCCATAGATAGAAACCACACCTCATTCCCTCTTATCTGGTAACACTCACGTGATTGCACTCCTCGATGCGATACAACTGCTCTGGGGTGCAGCGTTCCAAAACAGGCTCAAGTACAGAATATGGGACACCGCCTATTTCGTAGATGGCTAGGAGAAAAAAGCAGACAGATCTTTTTTCATTTTCAGGGCATATTTTCCAAACAGGAGACAGGTATTTGGTTTTCCATGCATAGCAAGACATGGAAGCATCTTCTGAAATCCAGGAGGCATAAAATCAGCTAAGTATGGATAGAAGAACCAGAATGTTTTCTACGATGCACAAGGGAACCATGGTCATGCAAAATATAAAACCTAGATGTTGTCCAAATCAAGTTTCCCCAACCAATTAGAAAGAAAGGCAAGGAACAACAGAATGGCTGATTGCTTTAGGACTAAACAAAACTAAGTAAGCCACTTAGCCACTGTCAGTTTATCCCATTTGCTTAACCATGAACTATTCTTTCATGGATCATTCCATGTTAATCCCAACTTCACCTCAAATCAGAAAATAACATGATTGTAAGAGAAAAGGAGCTTTGAAAGAGAACTTGTCAACTGGATGGAGGAGCAATGAATTAAGCAGTCCTCTAATGGAAATGTTTGCGTGACAGTTATGCAAGCAGTCCTTGACTTCTGGCCACAATTGGGATCAAAATCTCCACAACTAATGAAGATAGTCTAGCGAGTTATGCCTGATTTAAGACCTTTTTGGCCAGGGTTGCTAAGTGAATCATGCAGTCCTTAAGCAAATCCCACCCCCCAATTTTGCTTCCTGAGAAGACTGCAAATGGCAATCGCGTGACCCCAGGATGCTGCAACTGTTATGAATACATGCTGGTTGCCAAGTGTCTAAATTCTGATCGCCCAGCAAGGAGATGCTGTTGACAGTTGTTAAGTGTGAGGACCAGCTGTAAGTCCCTTTTTTCAACTCCAATCAGTCCTTAACCAGATGGTTGTAAGTCAAGGACTCCCTGTATTACAGGGAGTTGGACTGCCATATAAGTAAATAAGTAACTATCCCGATCCAGTTCACTGTCAAACCCCTTCCCCTTCACAGGCCGACAACTATCGGACTCACAGTCAATATTATTGCTGAGCACCCGGATGCATTGCTCATGAAGAGTCATCATCTTCGGAAGATAGGCAGTCTTGGAGCCCGAGTACACCTGCATCTTGGAATTCAGCCGACGTCCTGTGAAACCAGCCTCATCCTCTGCAGTTGGGGAGGAGAGGGCTGCAAGGTCAGAGCAAAAGACTCATTAGAGACCAGGGTATCCAGCATGGAGGTCACAGAAGACCAAAAACTTATTCCAACCCCACCAGATGATTTTGGAAAAATTCACAGTGTTTGCACTGATTTATAGCTACCGGACACGTTTACATACAGGCACGCCTGTTTGTAAAGGCATTTCCATTATTTATTTATTTGTTGGATTTATTGGCCTCCAATCTCACTGTGGCACTACTATGGGTGGCTTGCATGGAAAATCACTGCTTCCAACTCAAGGGACTAAACCCAAATTGTGGATAGTGAATGTAGGCTATCTTGTGCTTTAAAAAGATGATTTATTTGTGCTTTTAATATGAGGCAGATGATTCCTCACTGCACAAAAAAAAACTTCATGGTTGAACAACTAAGATGCAATGTGCTTGGAAGCAAAGCCACAATCACATTCCTTGTCATATTACTTACTAAGACTGTATTAGTATTATTCTTCTCTTCCTTCCTACTACCTATCTTTTTCCCACTTTTGCTTGTATCTTTCAATTTATATTGTTTTATGTGTTTCCTAGCATAATTTGATTCATTAGTAACCTATGACTATCACTAAGTGTTGTATCTTATGATTCTTGACGTATTCTATTTTATTTTTCTTTAGGTACACTGAGAGCATTTGTACCAAAGACAAATTCCTTGTGTGTCCAATCACACTTGGCCAATAAAGAATTCTATTCTATTCTATTCTATTCTATTCCTATTCTGTTTTTATTCTCTCCTAATTCCTATCCCTATTCTATTCATTCTTTCCTCATTCTTTCCTAATTCTATTCTATTCTTTCTTTCATAATTTCATTCTATTCTATTCTATTCTATTTTCTTTCCGTCTCGGGAAGCATCAGAGAAATGATCAACTACCATTGAGCTACTCAACTATTTCCCTGAATCCAAATTGGCATCTATTCTCATTATATTTATAGAGTGGTCTTCCTCCTCTTTCACAGGAGGAAGGGGTCTAGGTAAGTGAATAAAAGACAAAGAAAAATTCAGAACTTCTACGTGATTTTTTTCCTGTATCACCCAACCTGTCCTCAACCACAACTTTTAGAAATAGTAAATGAAAAGAAGATTCCGCTCCAACTTTACCTTTCCTCTTTGGTTGGACAAATGGGACCGTCTCAAGTGAGGGAAGAGGGCGATAATTTGCCTGAATTGGAGGCAATGGAATGTCAGGGAGCATTGGCAGCACATCAATGAGGATCTGTGGAGGGGGGGGAAAAGCTCGTGTTTGGTTAAGACAGCTTTGCAAAAGTCCATATTTGCTGCGTTTGGGGGGGGGGGGGGAAACATCTTTGAAACCAAACAGACTCATGACAAAACTGTCCACTCAACATTTTGAGTAGGCTGTACTTCAACGGAGGTAAATTCAAACGTGTTGAGTATTCTGTCATTAGGAACGATGGGGAGTTCAAAGAACAACTCTCTTATCTTCTACTTTTTTCAGTGCTAAGTGCTGTCTACCTACCAACTTATAGGGCAGGGATGGCAAATCTTTTTTGGTTGCCGTGCCACAAGCGGGGGGGGGAGCACCAGGGGGGGCGCGTGCGCTGGCATGCCACACCCATAATGCTATAATGCTCAAAAATTGGCTCTACGGACAAACCAGAAGTCACCATTCCCAAACTTCCGGGTTCTCCGTAGGTCCATTTTTCACCTTCTGGAGGGCAAAATGTGCCCTACGAGCAAATGGGAAGTGACTTTCGGTTTGTCCATAGAGCCGTTTTTCGACGTCCAGAGCCTTCAGGGAAGCCCCCTAAAGGCTCGGGAGGGCGAAAAACAGCCTCAAAAGAAGGCCAAAGTCAGCTAGGCAATGTCTCACATGCCCTAACAAATGGTTCGGCATGCCACCTGTGGCCAGCTCAACGTCACTCCTGTCAGGAGCACCTGTGGTGGCCCTAGTGCTCTGCCAGCAAAAATAGGCTTCCAAGCTCCATTTTTGGCTCCCATGGCCTCCTGCAACCCTCTGCCAGCGAAAACGGAGCTGGGGAGGGCCTCTCAAGCTCCGTTTTCATTGGCAGAGGATTACCGGAGGCTGTGGTAGCCAAAAACAGAACCCAGGAGCCTATTTTTGCTGGCAGACACAACACAAGCCAGTCCATCGCTGTTTCCAGAGTGGCCCCGTGTGCCAGATTGAAGTACCCTGTGGGCTGGATCTGGTCCCCGGGCCTTGAGTTTGACACCCCAGGTCTTGGGAATAATGTTAAAACATTATTTTAAATATATTCCATTACAAATAATAGAAATGATGTAGCTAAATATTTCTTTGGCAGGTAATATTATAGTGATAGAGGGCAAATCCCACTCACTTGCACTTATGTTACCTAATTGGGTAATGAAATATCCAAGCAAACAACGGAGCATGGTGAGCTCCAAGGACTCTCTTCATTTGCACTGGGGAGAAAACTGCACCGACCCCAAGCTAACTTACTCAGCAAGTTTTTGGAGAGGACCGAATTCCATGTTTTATTCCTGTGTAAGTTAATAGATAAGCCCATTCCACTGCATAATATGTCATTTATAATGTTCTGGTCAGAACTAGTTATTAATGGGCCCAAACTCTTAGAAGCACAAGCTGCCTTTGAAGCCTGCAGAACCTTTGTCTGGTATTCACTTCCGTATATTAAAATGTCCCAGGTGCATGCAAGTCCTGATTTCCTCAACCAATATTGCCGAAAGAACCGTCATTTGATGAGTTTAGAGGTCAGGTCTAATGATAAGCGATGACTTACAAATTACAATGGCTAGGTGCATATAACAACATTGTTCTGACCTAGGCTTCCCCAAAAAGCACGAGGCAGAGTCCTGGTCCGGTCAAAACCCCTCTGATTAAACAAATGTGAATTCCACTCATTTACATTCAGCAAGGCCTGGCAAACAGTCTTTCAAAGGAATATTAATGTCTACAGACTTTATCTATTTTGCAAAGCTGCCATGTAAATATTTCCCAAATGAGGTGCTATACAAGAAAAGATGGAGCACACACTCCTGAAACGAATCTAACCGAACGAACAAATTGTTTCCTGCAAAAGCCCCCTCCCCTTTCGCTCCTCTTTTATTTCCTATGGCAGGGGCCAATCACCTTCCACCTGTGACTTTACTTCCAAGTCCACCCTGATTTCTGACTTGTTCTTTTCTTCTGGCAGTTCTGGGCATGCGCACACTGGCAACAGGCTCCAGCTGTTCCTCTGCCTCACTGCTGTCTAGTTCCGTAGGCATCTGACCACTGCCAGATGGCCCTGGTCCCATCTCTGCCTCCGACGCCAAGCACTTGTCAGAGCCTTCTCCAGCCTCCAGGACTGGCCCGTGCTCCTCCCCAACCTCCTCACTATCCAACTCTGCTGCCAGTTCTGCTGGCTGCTGGTGCGCCATAAAACACACACACACCCAAATAAGCCACATTGTGATTGTGCCTTGTGAACCAAAATGCTAAAAAAAAACCTTCAGTTTGCCTTCAACACCAATGTGGCCAAGAAAAGATAACAGTGAACCAATGATTCCCCCCACGAGAACCCTTACTTTTTTTGTTTTAGGTGCAGAGGCCTCCACCGGTTTCTTCTCACTCGGTGGCTTGGGAGCTTTCCGGCTGGCATCCGAGCTCTTGGCACTTGACTTGGAGCCATTCTGCTTGCTGCTGTGTGCTTTCTCTGGGGCTGGAGCGGTAGTCGGCTTGGCCAGCTTCCTTTTTTTCTTCTGAGGCTGGTCGTAACTCAGATAGGACTCAAAGGACATGGTGGGCTGCTCGTACTCATCCTCCACCTCTCCGGGAGGGGAGAACCCTGCAGGCCTCTTGTGTGATTCGAAGACTTTGGGTTTGGCTTCAGAGGTTTTAAAGCTGCTGGAACTCTTCTTCTCCTTGTTCTTATGAGGAAAGTCTCCCTCAGGTTTTGGTTTCTCCTGATCTACACATATGGTTTCCAGGCTAAATTTTATCTTCTCTGCTTTGGCCTTTTCCAAGTCATGAGTTTTTTGTTTCTTCCTATGTTCATTCAAGCTATCCTCCAAGTCAAAGTGTGTCTTCTGTCTCTTGATGCCGCTGCTGCTGGCGCCATCTTTTTTCTTCTCTCGCTTGAGGCTGTCTGGGGCCTTCAGCTTCTCCTTGCTGCTGCCTGGTAAGGAAGCTTCGTGGAAGGAAGAAGAAGCCTTTGGCAGCCTCTCTGAGCTGAACACGGAGGCCTTGTCTTCACCCTTGGCTTCTGGCCGCTGCCTCTCTTTGTGAGAAGATTTAGGCTCTTTGCTCTGACTTGTACTAGGTTTCTCTTGAGAGTCACTGAAATGCCTATGATGAGTAACTTCTGGTCGGTCCTGAAATGGGGGGCTTTTCATCCCCTTTTGAGAAAAGGATTTTTGTTCCTTCTCTTGTTCTTCAGCATGGCAGAGGTCCACATAGAGTTCCTGAGGACTTTCACTGAGCTCAGATGAGACGGCATGGCCATAGTCAGAACACTCCTGGTCAGAGGACCCTCTCCTCCATGACCTGTCTTGTGGGATGCCATAGCTGACCTCCTGATGGGATTTCTCTGGCTCTGAACACCTCTTGACCTTTTTAGTTCCACAATCCAACTCGTATGACTGGCTGCAAGAAGGCTGGTGTGTCTCTGAGCAGCCCTCTTTGGGCAACAGATCTCGGTGTCGTTTCCTAGAAAGGTTTCGGTCATGTTCTGTAGGTTCAAGATTATGCCTTAAAAAAAACAGAGAAAGAATTGGATTATTGATTTTGATCAAAGATTACTGAAAACCTAAGCTAAAGCTATGATTGCTTAGTTCCATCTTCTTAACAATGAAATAGAATGCAGCCAACCTCTACCTTTCTAGACTAGAATTTAGAATAGGATAGAACTGGAAGGGACCTTGGAGATCTTCTAGTCCAACCCCCTGCTCAAGCAGGAGACCCGATACCATTTCAGACAAGTGGCTGTCAAGTCTCTTCTTAAAAATCTGCAGTGATGAATTACACACAACTTCTGAAGGCAAAGCTGTTTCACTTGTTAATTGTTCTCGTTGTTAGGAAGTTCCTCCTTATTCCAGGTTGCTTCTCTCCTTCATTAGTTTCCACTCATTGTTTCTTGTCTTACTTTCTGGTGCTTTGAAAAATAAGCTAACCCCCCTCTTCTTTGTGGCAGCCCTCAAATATTGAAACACTGCTTTCATGTCACCCCTAATCCTTATTTTCTCTAGACTAGCTATACCCAGTTCCTGCAACCATTCTTCATATGTTATCTATAAAGCTTGCACATTTTCCCCCCTTTTACATTATTTTTGCCAAACTATCTTGATCTTTCATTGTTTATATTCTCTCTGGCTATTAACATTTGGCACATTCCACCAGGCAGTGGAGCTGTATCAGGAAACAGAGCTTCAAATTGTTTTTGAGGGCAGATGAACTGTACAAGGGGATTGTCTGTTAAGAAAGAGATATTATAAAAGCCCAACTCACCGCACTTTTTCCTGTGAAACTGGCAGCAGCTTCTTCCATATTGCTACCAAGTTCTTGGCAAAGATTCCAACCTGTTCATGTTTTCGTAAACTATTCACACTCTTTCCGACTCCAGTCTCCTGCGAAAAGGATGTAGGAAAACAGCTTTGACAATGACAGCTAGTTAACAGCTGAGTTCATACAACATGCTAAGCCTACAACAAATAAACCAATTATGGCTGAATGCAAGGTATGAACCCAACCCAACTGTAACTTATTCAAAGCACAGTGATGGCTTAGCAGGATATACATGGAACAATAAAATATTTTTCTTTCTATATTTTGCAGGGTTTGAGCCTTCCCATTTGTAATTCGGACCAAGCCATCACAACAGGACAGATTTAGCCGCATCCTGGCTTAGATGGTTAGGGCAGGGTGTGTGTGTGTGTGTGTGTGTGTGTGTGTGTAAGAGAGAGAGGGAGGGACGGAGGGAGAATTATGTTTTGTTGTTATTGGGTTTTACTGCTGTTGTGAGACACCATGCCATCAAAACTTTTAAATAAATAAATAATCAACCAATCAATCTTCAGTGAGATTGCCCTCTTTCTATGCAGATTTCCAACTTCTTACTCCGCAGAACCTCCATCCTGGGCAGCTATACTTGGAATCTCCAACAGAACTAAGTTTCCAAGCGTAAGACATGGTACTACAAAATAACTTACCTGAAGAATGTCAATTGTCATTGGCAGTTCAGAAAGTCTCTTCAAACTCTTCAACAGCTGCAGAGGGGAATAGAAAAGGGTTGAGAACTCAGCTCTGTAATGGAGAGCTTTTTTTCCCCCACAGTAGTCAAGAAGTTCAAAAAACAAACCCACAGAGCTGCTAAGATGCCACAGAAGGAACAGACCTAATATTTTGCAGACAAATGAAGCAGATCAAAAATCTTATAGTTGCAGCAATCCCATCCAAAGATTGTAGGCTTGCCCAGAGGGCTCTAGAGCTGCTTGCCCCAAATATGTTTGGAGACTACCCCCCCATCCCTGAATCAAAAGTAAGAGAAAATCCAGTTGGATTAGAGGCAAGTTTCTCCCAGGGAGAATATTTCTGGATACCTGCAACAGTTTGAAGAGTTTGGGAAAGGCTCCCCATATATCAGCCTCATTGACCTTCTTCTCATGATAGCTAAGCCTTGGTGTAACAATGCTGATCAACAGAAGTGTTCGATAATAAGGGGGGGCAGGAAACCCACTCTCATCTTTCATCATGGTAGGGAATTTCATTAAACCAACCAATAGCTTAACAAATGTAATACAACATCCATCAAATGGCAGCCTTCCAAATTGTAATACATTTTCTTTTAAAGGCAGCCTTCCCCAACCTGGAGCCATGCAGCTGCTGGAGAGGACCACTTCTCGTGTCCTCAACCAACATGACCAACAGTTGGGAGTCCCAACTGTAAAAACTCTGGACAATGACAACTGGGTATCAAAAGTGGTTTTTATTTTTGAAAAGGTGACTGGACTGATTTTTTTTTAAAGAAAAAGGAAGAGGCTTCACTTTCTATTCTAGAATCTTGATCCGTTGCGTTGGATGGTGTGGGACATGGAATGACAGTTATTGGCAGTTGAAGGACAGTTGACTGACCTTCTATCTCTCATACCATCCAATACAGCTGATCAAGATTCCAGGATAGGAAGCAAAACATCTTATTTTTCTTTTTAAAAAAAACCCAGCCCAGTTGCCTTTTCAAAATAAAAACCATTTTTAATACAACTAAGATCTGGATGACTGAAAATCGTTATAGACTTATGACAACTGGGGTTAAAAGTGGCTTACATCCACACAGAAGCATTTTTGATCTCTAAAATTAGTACTCAGCTGTTCTGGTACCTTTATTCTTCTAGAATTTTTAACATCTAATCCCAAACAGAGCTGAATATGCTTTCTTCCATTCCAACAGCTTTTTCAATTCTGAACTATTTTTTTACATGTTCCATCTGACCATTCACCAATAATTTGCGGAATTTTAAGAGCCAATGTTTCTAAAATTTGTTTCTACGTAACAATTTCCATCATTTGTCCTAAACTCAGAATCAAGGTTTATTTTACTGTACTCTAGTATTTGGGTTATCAGGATACCAAGCTCTCTGGTGTTTGAGTTGCCTGTTGAACTCAAGTCATTCTCTCTCAGCCCAGCCCACCTAACAAAGTTGTTGTTGTGAAGAAATTAAGAGGAGGATGGAATATTAGGTATGCTGGCTGCCTTGAGTTATTTATAAAAATAATCAAGGTTGGCTAAAATTAAATAAATGTAAAACAAAAGGTGGCAGAACAAAAATCAGACAGAAAAGAGGATTTCTGGAGAGCACAAGAGTGCCATCTACTGATCATAGACTATTAGACCTACTGAATTCCATAGAGGGTGCATAAAGGTGTAGATGAGGTGGGGATAGAATTAGAGGTGGGGGGCAAATCTTTCTGAATTGCTTTGATTACATTGTCTGGCATGTGTTTGCAGCCCAATATGCTTTATCCCTGCAGGTTCTTCCGTCAGAAAAAATATGACTCAAGAGGGGTTACAGTTGCAAAATAAAATTTCTCCTTCTTCTTTTCTACAACAGAGATGAAAATGGATGGCAGAGGTGTGCTGTACAAAATCAGGACAAGCAGGGATTATTGAAGGCCACAATAAAATTTGCACACAGAATTTGGAAACTCTTCCTGGGTAAATTATCGGAGAAAATTTAGAAACCAGCCAGGGGAACAACTCTTCACAATTCTTCAGAGGGACACAGAGAGCCCTTTAACCAACTGGCATAGTTAACCACAGCAACAAGTTTGCCAAGTATCTGCCCTTATTCCCAAAGCCAGCAAAAGGAAGAGAAAGCTGTCTCTTCTCTACATTCCAATACATTAAAGATTATCCCCAATATCTCCAAAAATCATACTACATTTATAAATTCTCCCAATGGAGTAAAAAAACAACTGCATTCATCTCAATAATGGGCTAGAAGTTCACACTTTAAGCAAAAGTTGAGATTTTCCACAGTAAATAAGCCTTTCTCCCAAATACACATACTTGTGGACGGCACTAATGAAAAGGCAAAGGTAGCAGACAAGCTGTACTTTTCCTTTCTTTCATAATTGATTTTTGTCCTGCAATAAATAGCAGCCAAGTACTAACAACATTTTTCAAAGGATATGTTCCTAAGTGACCCCCTCAAATTTGCACTTTAAAGTGATTCAAAGCATGTCCAAAGTATTTTTAAGTACACTTCTCCATAGTTCTTAATTCCCAGTCACCAGAAGGAAGGGACCATTTAAATTTGTTTTTTCAAGTAAAGAAGTAAACTCAGATTGCTCCTGACAAAACACAAAATGTTCAAGCCACCATTTCCGTGAAATGCTTTTAGAAGTAACATCTCTTTGCTGGATGACTTAAAGTGCAAGAAAATGCTCTAGAATTAGTTCTGCCCAGTGCTTAGTCTATCACACACCTCCCTTCTTTTCTGTCCTCACATTAAGTCTTTTCAATGTAAAAACAACTATAAACTATCCAGTGGATGCTAATCTGCAAGGTGGAGGAGAAATCCATTGAACCAAAAGAGGTGGGGGGGACGCCAGTCCTTCATCCTTTCAACTGTTATTCAAAGAGCCTTTCTCAGTATCAGCTTCTCACATCTTTAGGACACAAAGAAAATCACTTAGCAGTTACTCCTTTGCAGATTTCTAACTTCTGGTAGAAGTTTTCTTTACGGGTTGTTAGCATAATTAAAAATATTCAGGATTGCAAGAGAGATTTCTTTCAGCAGTTATCTATGTAAAGGTGATGCAAACAGCAGAGATCCTGCACTAGAGTTAATTAAAAAAAAAAAAGAACACCAGAGGTGATTCATTGCCAGCATCTTCTTCTGACCCTCCCTGAATGTTTGGAATTAAAAGGTGGGCAACCTGCACAACCCACTTCCCAATTCTGCACAAGGTTCCTCTTCTTGCCAGTGTTGTGGTGGCACTTTTTTGAGACTCACACATTTCTACAAGCCTTTGGCAATTACTATGCAGCCCACTTGATGATAATGACTACAATACTGTTTTTACATTTATTTATTTTTATTAAAAACACACAGAGCAATAAGACACCCCTAGAGCCTTTTCATTGGCTAAGCCCTCACCCCTTCAAGGGATAGGACTAGCCCTCTGGAATCCACGACCCCCACCCACCCCACAATCTTGCCTAGTCCATGGAACATAACCGACAACTCATACAACCAGCCCCCCCCCTCCCCATCAACGGACATGGATTTCTCCGGCGTTCAAAATTCAGCCGTTAAACGGCTGTTCTCCCCCCCACCCGTTTCTCCCATTGACCATCCATATATGTCCACACATATAAATATATCTCTCGGAGGATGGCCGTTCAATAGATATATATCTATATGTGTGTGTCTGTGATTTGTTACACCTCCCCAGCACAAGTCTCGCCATCCTTAGACTTATGAGTAACTTTGCTGCCACTTTGCATGTACGCTGATCGGCATACATTTAAATGAAATTTCGTGGCGTTCATCTCTCAAAGAGTCTCCGCCTCCAATATATATATAATATATCCTCAATAGGGGGGTGGGGGAGGGAGTAGGGAGGGGAAGGGGTTTCTTTTAATTGGCCTGAAAAACTCGCAGGGCTTCGTTTGCCCAGTAACGGCCGAGGGGGGGCGCCCCACTTGCACCTTGGCTCGCCCCCTTTTTCTTTTGCTCCCCCCAAAAACACAGTCCCTTTTGCCTTCCCCCCACCCCACTCGCTGCGCAATTCAGCCTCGCCCTCCCAGCTAGCGCCCCTCTTTCACCGGGGTACCCCTCGTTTCTCCCACCTCTCGCCGTGGCCATCCTAAAGGGACCCCCGCTGCCCCCCACCTCGCGGGGTCCCCGCTCCAGCCGCCATTCGGCCACCCCACAACCACTCTCCGCCCAATTCGCTTTTCCCCTCAGGGTCCCCCCTTTTTTTGTTTTTACCTTCTTCGGTTCCGAAGCGCTAGTGAGCCGAGACTGGAGCTTTCGGACATCTTCTAGCACCGACTCCGCCATTTTTACTCCTGGCGAGGTCTCCTGCTCGGCGGAAGTGGCCGTTGCTTCAACGGCTTCCCAAGAGAACTCTGGGCTTTCCTCCTTCCGAACTCCTGGGGGTTCTCGAATCCCGTTTCGTGGCACCATGTTTATCCCGGGCAAAAAAAGGAAGGGGCGGGGAAAAGGGGCGGGGCTGAAAAAGAAGCCAATCGGCCATCCCCCTTCACAAGCCGGTGCCGCCATTTTGCAATCTGGCAAAGGCTTCACAGCCGAGAAGGCAGGGAAGAAGGAAAAACGCCATCGCGGGTCAGGGCAAACAGTTAAGAAACAGCTGTTAAACGGACGGATGACAACGTCTCCATCTTAAATGAGGGCAAAACCCTTCCTGCTGTGGCATAACGGCCATTTTGAAAATTGGCAAGAACGTTGCCTGCCACGGTTGGCTCGTTCCTCTCCAAAAAGCGCTTCTGCTTTTTCACCGATTTTTCACTTATTGCCGAAAGAGTTCAAATAAGGTCTTCATTACCAGTGTGAGGCTTTTTTTGGCCTTTATGGAGGTCATCATCCGTCTGGGCTGGCTCATCATGTTGGAGAAAGCTGGATAAGGACATAAGCATGACCACAGATTAATTGACATTCACTCAAAATGCTTTATATCACATATACTCCTTCCCAGAAGCAGGAATCCAGTTTACAAAGTTTAAAACAACCATTTGCCACCGCTTCTTAAAGCACATTTACAAATTAGAGAATTTAAAGCAGCATTTCTCAGTCTCTACAACTTTTATATGGACTACAATTCCCAAAATTCCCCAACCAACCATGCTGGCTAGGGGATTTTGGGAATTGAAGTCCATTTATCTTAAAAGTTATCAAGATTGAGACTCGCCTTAAAGAGCAGCTTACAAATGTCCACGCAGAACTGTATTTCATGCAATATACCAAGCAAGAGTTTGTTAAATAAAGTATACAGCACAACCACACATAAACCATGATTTTCAACCCCAAAAGCAGGTTTTATAGTCTATGCTAGAGACTAGCAATTATGATTTGTGTGCTTTTAATCTCCCAATCAAAAGGCAATGCACTGCAGGCTCAGACTAAATTCGTACTTTGCATCCAGGTCAGCTGTGGGTTATATTATTACCCTGTTTCCCCCAAAATAAGCCCTCCCCAAAATACTGCAACACAGCAGCAGCCATTAGGTGATCACTGTCACCACCTCCTGCACCTCAAAAATAATAAGACCTCCCCAAAAATAATGCCAAGACTTATTTTGGGGGTCAAAAGAAAATAAGACCTTGTCTTATTTTCGGGGAAACACGGTATGTTTTAACAAGCCACAATTGGCTGGTTTGTATGCATTACATGAGGTAGGCCAGGTTGTCACAAGATCTTTTTGCCCACTATTGTCTCACATAACCCACAAAATGGATGCTGAGAAGATTATGGAATCCATTTCTGAGGGGTAATGTGCATTTATTGGATTATGATAATATTTGCTGATTTTTGTATATAAATCCATTCTTAGGAGCATCTCTGGAGGAGTCTTAAAATCACTCGGGGTCGAGAGGCACACCTGAAGAATTGAAAACACCTTGTAGAAGCTCTCCGAAAATACATGCCATGAGATGGGGCAGAATATCCATTCACAGTATATAGCAGCCCTGATTGGGACTGAGTGCTTTTGTCCCTTCCTATATTTCCAGTTAGGGAGGCTAAATGGAAAATATGGGGATGAGATCCAGTAAATTGAGAACAGGGCAAAGATGGCGGATGGGCTCCAAGCTCAAATGCCATGTTTATACTCCACAAAGCACCCAGACAAAAAAAACAACAACAACCACTCTTTGGATTTTAACTCCCTGTTCAGAGAAACATTTGTGCAAAATAATCTCCCACCAAGAACACACACAAACACACACAAGCTTGGCATTTAAGAGAGAGAAAATAGCACAGACGAGCTATTCTCCTCAGACTGGTGTGAGGCAAAGTTAATTTGGGGTGTTTACTGCTGCCTTGATCCAAAACAACAGGGCTCTTTGAGAGTTGGAGGCCAGTTCTGGGGAATAAGAGATCTCCTAGGTCAGGGGTGTCAAACCCAAGCCCCAGGGGGTGGATCCGGCCCACAGGGACACCCTGGAAATGGCGAAGGACCAGCCCATGCTGCTTCTGCCAGAGAAAATGGGCTCCCGAGCTCCATTTTCGGAAGTCATGGCCTCCTGCAACCCTCTGCCAATGAAAATGGAGCTCAGGAGGGCCGCATTCATTTTCACTAGCAGAGAGTTACAGGAGGCCATGGCAGCCGAAAACGGAGCTTAGGAGCCTGTTTTCGCTGGCAGAACGCATGGGCCACCATTGCCACCCTGACAAAAGTGACTTCGAGCTGGCCATGCCATCCCGGCTCTTCCCTTCCCCCCAGATCAAACACAACCCTGATGCGGCCCTCAATGAAATCGAGTTTGACACCCCTGTTCTAGATGAATGTTTTTATGGTCTCTTGTCAGGCTGGGTGAAGAGAAAAGACAGTTATCGTCCATAAAAAAAACCAATAAAGTCATTAATTCCAATGCAGGAAATACAGGTAGTCCTCAATTTAGAAAGGTTCATTTAGTGACGGTTTGAAGTTACAATGGCACTAAAAAAAAGTGCCCATTTTTCACATGACCATTACCGCATGCCCACGGTCATGTCATCAAAACTGAAATGCTCAGCAACTGACTTATATTTATGATGGCTGCCATGTCCTTTTGTGACAATCTGACAAGTCAAGTTGATGGAGATAAGTCAGATTCACTTAAAGACCATGCTACTAACTTAACACCTGCAGGGATTCACTTCACTGTGGCAAGAAAGGTCGTAAAAGGGGGTCAACATTCATTGAACCACTGTTTTGCTTAGCGGCGGAAATTTTGGGCTTGATTGTGGTTGTAAGTTCAAGGACAACCTGTACGCTGAAGGAGATTGTTAAGAAGTTGTGAGAGTTAATAAACCACTCTGCTCTACCTGGCTCTTTCCACTGAACTCGATGCAGTTTCCCCCCCTGCATAAGGAATCTGGAAAGAAAATTTCACTTAAAAAAAAAAAAACTCACTCCCTACGCAGCCTGAAACTGACAGTACAAAGCAGCTTTCAGATTCTGCCACTTTGCTTTGTTGCCACTATAGGACAAAGGCACTAAATCTTTACAATCAGCATACATGCACTTCAATTGTGCTTCCCATTTTCTAGGTCAACAGCGTTTTGCAAAGCACAAAGAAATTAAAGTCATTTGATACAATACATAAGATGTACAGGAACCCACAGACGTTAACTTCTGTTGCTCACAACGACTGTGATTGATTCAATGTGTTTTTACATAAGATGTTTAGTAATACAAAGGTGGTGTAAAACTGGTTCCCAGCTTTTGTTACACCTATGCCGCATGCAGTTTTCCTTGCTAATGGTAAGGACAGTTCTGGACAATTAGCACTTGTCCAATAGGACACAAATGGATCTTGTGTGATTTGCTCCATGCATGCTCAGACACTACAGTATTTGGAGCAAGTTGGGATCTTTGATTGAGAGCCTATTCTGTAAACCCCAGAATAATTTCAGAGATACATATACTATACCGATACACTTAGAATGCCTTACAACAGCTCTGTAAAGTTACTCATAATCCTGCAGATGAAGTCAAAAACTGAGAAAGTCCTAGCTAAATGGAGTTGATGGACTCTCTCTCTCTAAAAAAAAAGAGATGTTGAAAGAACAAAAACTTTGTGCAGGTGCATTGACATTCATGCATTTATATGGAGCTGTGCTTCTCAAACTCAACAACTTAAAGATGGGTAGACGTCAACTCCCAGAATTCCTCAGTCAGATAGCCAGCTGGGAAATTCTGGGAGTTGAAGTCTACCCATCTTAACAGTTTGCCTTCAGAAGTTGTGGGAGCTTCAGCCCTGGAAGCTTTCCCAGAAGCGACTAGACTGCCATTTGTCAGAAACGAGGTAGGGTCAATATAACCAATATGGTCAAGTGTCAGGATTTAAAATAAATCCAGATAAGACCGAGTGGCTGGTGTGTTTCCCTCCTACTAATTGGCCAAGTATTCCATCTCTCAGGCTGGGGGGGTCAAACAGTACGCCCCTCAGACAGGGTCCGCAATTTGGGAGTCCTCCTGGACCCACAGCTGACTTTTGATCACCCACGTAACCCCTAGCCTCCGCGAGCTGCACTGGCTGCCTATTGGGCTCCGGAT